GGAGCTCTCACTCCTGCTACTTGCGGTAATATTCTTCCTTTGTTTTCTCCAAGTTATATTTCCTTTAGACATTGCCTCATGTCCATACACTCGTTACATCAGTTCTCTCAGCCCTGCAAGGAATTCAATCTCTCTCTTCCAAGATAAGTCAAGGTAAAGTCAAAATAATTTTCAAAAGACAGTTCTATTGCAAGTTCAGATTTGCTTCCATTTACTCACCAAAATGTAAGGTTTAATGAAAGTTCTATTGGCTGCAGATCATGTGGTTCTCATGTCTGTGATTATGTTGATCGCACTTTTCACTTTTCAACGCTGTGGAACAAGCAAAGTTAGCTTCTGCTTCACACCCGTAATGTTATTGTGGTTTGTTACCAATGTTTCAGTCGGTATCTACAATATTTTGGAGTACTATCCATCCGTTCTTAAAGCCATTTCTCCACACTACATAGTGAAATTTGTTTCAAGAAATGGAAAGACTGCTTGGAATCTTCTCGGTGCAGTATTTCTAAGCATTACAGGTTTAACTTTACAACTATCTTTGAGGGAAAACAAAAAAAATAAATAAAAGAAAAGCATATGAAATAGGAGAAAAGTAGTTCACTTCCGACATGTTTTAAACTGTCATGCAGGAGCGGAAGCCATGTTTGCTGATTTAGGTCATTTCAATAAAAGAGCAATTCAGGTAAGGAACAAAGAACTCTAATCTACCATTAGAAAAGTTAATCAGATTGATGGCATTTTTCTGTACAATGAGTCTTGCAGTTGGCCTTTTCTTTTGTAGTTTATCCATCCCTAGTTCTCAGCTATGCCGGAGAAACGGCTTATCTAGTGAGGTATCCAGAGAATATCAACAACGCCTATTACAGTTCCCTACCAAAGTCTGTTTACTGGCCAATGTTTGTAATCTCAACTCTAGCTGCCGTGGTTGCTAGCCAGTCCATGATATCAGCAACTTTTTCCATTGTAAAGCAATCACTTGCTCTTGGATGCTTCCCTCGAGTAAACATTATACATACATCCAAGCATGAAGGACAAATCTATTCCCCAGAGGTAAACTGCATCCTCATGATTCTTTGTGTCACTCTCGTTCTTGGATTCAAAGGAGGTGTTGAACTAGCAAATGCCTACGGTAAGCATCACTCAGATTTCTTTTTGTACACCGACAACTTAAAAAAAAATCTAATACAATCAAGACACTTAAAATAACCAATTATATGCAACTTTTTAAAGCAAGGATGGGTTGATTATCTGTAACAATGGTAAACAGCCTGTTATAATCAGTAAAATTAATACATCAACAACAACAACATACCCAGTGTAATCACATAGGTGAGGTCTAGGAAGGCTAGAGTGTACAAAGACCTTACGCTAGCTCGTGGAGGTAGAGAGGATGTTTCGGAACCAGTAAAACTAATAGTATAAAAATGTTTGAAAAACGCTTTTCTTGAGCCGAGGGGGTCTTATCGTAAGCAACCTCTCTACCTCGCAAAGGTAGGGTACAGTTAGCGTACGATCACACTAGGTATGTTGTTGTTGTTGTTAAGTTAAACCACAACTGGCAGTCCAAATAAAGCGTACTTCGCTGAGAAATAGAACTAACTTTTATTTTTCAACTACAGGGGTGGTGGTCATCTGGGTCATGATCATAACAACATTCTTGACAGCATTAGTGATGCTAATCATATGGAAGACAAATATCATTCTTATTCTGGCATTTTTCTTGCCTTACATAATAATTGAAGGTTGTTTCATGACATCTTTGCTCAATAAAATACCACAAGGAGGATGGGTGCCATTTGCTATTTCTGCTTTCTTCTTGACTATCATGCTATCTTGGACATATGGAAGAAGTAAGAAAAAAGAATATGAAGCAGATAGAAAGATGAGTTTACCTGATCTAGACCAAATGCTATCAAGATATAGTACATACCGAGCTCCAGGAATTTGCTTCTTTTTCACTGATCTTGGAAATGGCATTCCACCCATAATCCATCATTACATTCAGCACACAAATTCTGTTAGAGAAATCCTGGTAATTGTCACTGTAAGAACTCTTCCTACCAAAACCGTCCTGGTGGAGGAACGTTACAATGTGGGGAAGATGGGAGTTGAAGGAGTTTATCGGTGTTTGATTCAGTTTGGATATAAGGATTCTCAAAGCATGGAAGGAGATGACTTTGTTACTTTAATAATCACAAAACTCAAAGACCAAGCTGAGTTTACTAATGAAATACGAAAAATAGATGCAGCTGCTGAAAGAGAACCTGTTTTTGTGTTAGGAAGAACCATTCTCAAAGCAAATAAAGGTTGGTTTGCTCGCTTCACTATAGAGTACTTGTACAGGTTTCTTCAGAAGAATAGCAGGGCAGCTATTTCTGCACTTCAAATTCCACCAGATAGAACACTTCAAGTTGGTATGCTTTATGAAATCTAAAAAGGTGTATTTGCAGCTTAAACTGGCCTCAGAAACACGAAAATATTCTTAAGTAGCGCATCCCAGAAGGACAAATTAGTATTTTTCGTGTAACCTATCATGACTACTCAGTCTTTTTCACAATAATAGCAAGAATATGCAATGATTCTAATGAAATAAAATGCAGTTCAATGTATTTTTCCTCATGTAGCATGACAGGGTACATGACCTCACTATTTTGTTGTTGTTATTGTTATCTCAAATATGTACATTAGCAAACCAGAAATAATAAAGATGTAAAGAAAAAGAAAAGAACTATTTGAGTCCATAGAACTCACTATGTCCTTGCGAAATTTAATCCCCAAATAAAATGGATTAACCACTTAAGAAGTAGCAGTATGATAATCTCAATGAATTCAAAAAGACAACAACGAGATCACACACATAAACATGATGAATCATTTTGTTTATAAGAAATGTATGCAGAAAAAAGAAAAAATGAGAGAAAGTCTCTCTATTTATAGGCAACAAAGGGTAGCTAGAAAAATTGTTAATGACTCATCACTCTTTGGAAAAGAGACAACCTTTCAGAAAAGTCAAAACCCTTTGGAAAAAGGCACAACCATTCGGATGGTCACAATCCTTTAGATAAGACACACCCTTTCGTAAAGGTCACTACCATTCGTAAAATTCAAAACCCTTCACTTCCTATTTAAACCTTTAAAGCCCAACAATTATTGCTTCTTTTGTTGACTGTACAATGCTTTTCTTATTTAAATGTTATGTTTCCTCATTATCTTCTTATTAGTTGACGCACTTGAACCGAGAATATTTCAGAAACAACCTCTCTACCTTCACCACCCTATCTTTCCCAGACCCCACCTAGTGGGATTTCACTGGATATGTTGTTACTGTAGCATGAAAGGGTAATATATGCGTAACACGTTCAACATAAGACCATATACCAATTCAGGAAAAAGACCCATTTCATATTATCAACAGATTCATGTGCAATTTAACTTCCCTTTTTAGGGTGTATCTTTGATCCTCCAAGCACAATCTTTCTATGATTATGCAATTCTGTATATAGAAGCCATATGCAAGTACAAAGATTACATCTTGCATTCTGCGAACCATGGTCTGATTTTAAGGAATTCGGGGATATTTGGACAACCAGAAAAATCTGATAGACCACAAAATATAAGAGCATTTGTTTCCAGTCTCTAGACCTATCACCTCTATTTTACTAACCTGTTGAATTCTGAAAAGAAAAAATTGTTTAGCAGCCCAAAAGCAGTTCATGAAACAAACCAACAAAGCAAATATAACTGGATAACAAGAAGAAGGCCAGTTAGTTTACCTCAAATCTCAAGTTTCACATACTAGCATTCCGGAACAGTATATATGAATTTGTCAACTCAAAGGCAAAAAAAAAAACTCTATTAATGACACATAAAATGCAAATATGAACATACTTGTAAGAATATCCCCTTACACATATGACATACCCAAGGATGCTTGTCCATCGCATACTTGTGGTCCAGTTCCTTGCTGTCTCTGTGCAATATCTGGGACCAAAGGATCATCAACCGAGGTGCTGATTTCATTCACATGCTGCACTCGTTTTCTTCCTTCTTTTTGAATCACTTCTTCAAAATCAGTCGCACCAAGCAATGATCCAAAGTAGATATGCTTCTGATATGGCATGTCCACTTTTCCATTGCTCCAAAAAAAAAGGCTCTATCCGTTCAATTCTACTTCAAGCATGATTTAATGGCGGCATCTTAAATTTAAATTTTTAATAATTTTTATATAATTTATTTTTTCTAATTTTCACTCATAATATAATTATTCTTATTATAAATTATCTTTTAAAAGATATAATACTCAAATTATATCAAATTTGTTCTAATAATTCTTTCATTTTTCATGAAATATTTAATTTTTCTATAAATAATATTCAATATTTGTTAAAAATAATAACTTATAACCTATTATCATAAAAAAAAAAAAAATGAGGCCCTCTAAATTTAGAAGCCTAAAGTATGTATCTTTTTCTTGACACTGTCAAGCCACCTCTGATTCTATCTGTGCACTATTTACCATAAAAAATACTACTATTAAATAAAAATGAAATTTATTTTGAAATAATAGACAATAAAAATGAATTAAGAGAATATAATTTTTCATATTTTATTCTTAAATTTAAGGAAAATGCATAATGATATATATATTTAAAATCTCATTATACTAAAGTTTTATTATTTGGAATTATTTTATAAATAATTTTTTATTTTTTTTATTTATGTTACATTAGCTTAAAAATGTCAAATACGTTAAGCCAGACGATAGTGTTACGTAGATCGAAAAGGTATAAAATATTATTTATAAAATAACTTCAAAAATAATAAGACATTAATATAATTTAAAATATCTTTAAAATTTTGAACAGATTAAATATGCTTATGCATTTTATTTAATACGGTTTACATATTCTTCAAATTATTTTCAGAACCTACTACTAAATGTCAAATTAATATAAATATTATAATAAAATATTTATGACAATTTAAAATTTTAAGTTACATGCACCGGGAATAATAGGTAATTTCGTAGAAATTACTTAAAATACAAGATAGAAACAAATTATGAGGAATATTGTTGTGTTCAAATGATGAAGTGGGGACAATTGGGTCCTGCTGTGGGAATCCGAGTGAGGTAACTGTCACACACGACACGTTTGCTTCCACCAACCTAACAATCTCTACACATCGGCACTTTTCGTCACCCTCTTCCTTCCTTTCGTCGCCGGCGATGGCATGGTTTCAATCATCAAATAGGAAAGTCCAGTTACCGGCCCAAGCCCAAACCCCGCCTGTCCTTGACAAAGACGAACGGATCGCTAAGGACGATGCAGATGCTGAAAGTTTGAAGCGGGCGCCCACTGATAGCAATGTCACGGAAGATCAAAATCGAGATCCTTTCATGGGAGTAAAGGTACGGAGAAAAGCTTCGTTTCATAGAAATTACATCGGCGATTACCTTGACGTGCCTTCTCGACCCTATCTCATGAAGATTCTAGAAAAACAAGGTAATTCTGTGGTCAAAGCCACATCCTAAAATTTTCAGAACTTATTTGTTTTCTCCTGTAAAGGTGATTTTCCTTTGCACAATTACTTGATCATTGGTTTGATTACATAATCGTAACGTTTGAAATTTATGTTTTACTTTTGATTTGATGCTTTGTGGTTAAAACTGAATATGCAGACGCCTTAATGTAATAGCATTGGAACAATGACACATTTGCGAAATGTAAAATTAGCTCATATAGTATCTGTTGAAAGTACTGTTTCAACCTGTTGACTTAAACATGTCATGACATTAATATGGCTATAGGGCTATGGTATTTGTTATATAATTACTAGTTCAAAGTTAAAGAATCTCCAAATATAATGTGTGCTCTTTAAGAACAAGTAATTTATAAAATAGAACAAAGGAAAAAACTTATTTTTAACCTCTAGTATTCGCTGCAGTTTTTTGTAACTTTTGGTTTTGGTACCTTCTTGGTTCTTTTTTAGTCAATAAACCTTTACCTTATCAAAAGAGAAAAACCTCTTGCATTGTGATTGTAAAGGTACTACAATAACTTTAGTTGTTTTATGAGTTGGTTAGAATAATGTCTTCATCAATGTTATTTAAACGTTACAATGGTATTTTTGGATGTTATTGAAATCCTTTGTGGAATGATGCTTAGTGCGGGGCAATCGTCATTGGCGAAGCCATGCGGTTCATAGAAATGTATGCTTCAAACAATGACCTGCAAGATGATCCCAATGAAAATCAATCGATTTTTTGAATCTTGAACTTTGTGGAGCTTGTTTAGTGTTGGCAGATGGCGTTATTGTATTTGAATGTTGAAATTGGTTATTTTAATTGCAAATTCATTATTACTGCACTAGTCCATATTTATTTTGTATTTAGTAGTACTTCTTGTTTTCTCTTATAGTGCATTTTATTTCAAAGAAATGTGCACTTCATTTTCTTCTTTTCACTTCAAGTTCCAAGGACCTTATCGCTTCTTTTGGCTTCTCTTTTATAAACACTGAATTATTTCTAAACCAACATGTACTAGACCAATAGTAAGCTTGTAAATAAAATAATGTAAAATTAACAAAAGTAAATAATGAATTTCATGCTTGAAAAAGTACCACAAGCCGAAGTGCTTTATAAATAAATTTTTGTTAAAAATAAAACTGAAGAAGAACAGGTAAGAAGTTAATGGGAAAAATGTTTGTTTAAAAAAAGACTTAGCATGATAATATTTAAAGGTTTTTCACTTATTACGGAAAAAGTTCTGTTTGATTTGAAACGACACATTTGGTAGTTTATTCTTTTTGTGAATTTGAATTCTTTAATTCTGTTAAAACACTTTACTTTAAGTTAAACAGCATGATTATTGTTTCTGGACAGCTTTCAAAAGCTTTTATGGGTGAAATATAGTTTGAGGTTGCGAAATAAGGAAAGTTGTAGTAGCTGTAAGTTGTATTTTGTTGAATAAATATGTAGTTGGATCATCCCTCTAGTGATATTCAGTTGGACGTTGTGTTTTTTCTCGTTTTCCATCTTTTCTAAAATGTAAGAAATGAAATGTTAGTATTTATTTGCACCATGGGCTGGATTGAACCTGTGTAGCTGTTTGGAAGTAACCTTTTTCTTTAAATGAAACTTTAAGAACTTTGGAGCTCACGTTATTCATGTCAAAATGAAAATCTTTATTTGTAGCTTGCAGTTCAATCCAATAGTCCTTGTTTTACTTGGCATTGTAGTTAGGTTGAGGATTTCTTTGTTCTTATCCCAAAAAAAAGTTGGGGATATTCTTGGTTTCGTTCAGTGTTTATTGCTCTTTTTTTCTTTGTCATTGAGTTTTAAAACCTATTTTTCGGCAATTAATTGTTATGTGTTTCACAATTGATTTCCATTCTCCAGATTTATGAGTCTTCAACTGTGTTTCTTGCCTGCATTTTCCATGCTTGATTTTCTTGTATGTCCACATTAGAGTCGAGTCATCTCTTATTGTAAAATGGCATTTCAAGTTGTTTGCATGATTTTAAGTAGTACAGAGTGAAACTAAAGTATAAACAGACTTCATAGAAGTTTTTACAACCTTTAGTGGCTTTAACATCGTTCACCGCTATTTGCACCTTGAGGTAGAGCCTTATTTGCTTTAGAAAGGTTCTCAAAGTTGGTCTTGGTGGAAGTTGTATTTATAGAAGAATTTTCAGAGGAGATGAGTTCATAATATATCTACTATAAGCTGGAGATATGTATACATATATCCAGTTGTACAATGCACATTAAGTAATCCTCACACTTTTCAGTAAGAACCATCTTACAATTCTCATCCCAGACAAAGAGAAACTGAAAACTATCCCTCTGCTCTTTCTGCAGCAAGTAATGCATGGCTTCAGAGAATTTTCTTGGTGTGTCTAGATAAATGAGCAATTGCTTTAGCAGTTATTTTCAGCTGCAAGGCAGACTATAGTAATAGCTGATAATATTGCTTTCCTTGGTGATGGATGAATTGACGCGGCACATACAAGGGGATTTGACATGGCGTATGCTTTTTTTGATGACATAGTATTGATTGACAAGACTTACGAGGGAGTTCATGATAAGCTAGAGGTTTGGCGACATAACCTTGAGTCGCAAGTTCAGTGACGTAACCCACGAGGCATATGTGGAAATGAGGATTGATACTTAAGTGAGGTTATCTTTAAGAAAGGAAGTTTCAAGTATATTTGTTCTATAATCCATAGAAATGGGAAGATTGGCGATGATGTTACACATTGTATTGGAGCGGGCAGATGAAATGGAGGCTCACATCTAGTGTCTTGTGTGATAGAAAGCTGCCACCAAAACTTAAAAAGTAAGTTTGATTTTGATCAAGAAAACAAATGTAACTAAAGTAAGCTAAGTTTTATAAAGTGGTTGATTAACTTACCATGTTATATGGGGTGGAGTGTTGGCCGGTTAAGAATCCACACGTCCTAAAGATGAAAGTTGTGTAAATGAGGGTGTTGAGATAAGATTAGGAAGAGCGATATGCAGGACAAATTAGGAGTGACATATGATAGACGCTCCCAACCTGGATAGAATCTTATCCTTAGTCATATATCCTTACCGACAACTTATGCAAAGTCCAACTGTTGTACATTGTAAGGTGTTAAAGGAGTCCTTCGTTATCTCGCAGGCACTCCTGACTTGGATCTGCGTATCTAACCTGGTTTGTCTCTTATCCTTGTCTGCTTTTCGGATGCAAATTGGGTTGGATGTCCCTTTACTCGAAGGTCTACCACATGCCTATTTGTCCTTCTTGGTGTTAATTGCATCAGTTAGTCGTCCAAGAACTAGGTCTACCACCGAAGTTGAGTATTGATCATTGACTTGTCTAGCTACATAATTGACATGGGTCACCTATCTCTTAAAGGATATTGGCAATTCCATATCGTCCACCATTGTTGTTCACGGATAATATCAGTGCTCTCCATCTCACGCCAAATCCAGTATTACATGTTGAACTTGATTACGATTTTGCAATGGAAACCAAGTTCATTCCTTTCAAGCTTCAAATTGTAGATATTCTCACAAACCAGTTGCCTAAGCATCAATTTCATGTATTGCACACCAAGCTAGGTGTTGTCCGAAATCCCCGCACTAGCTGGGGGGGGGGGTGATAGACACTCTCAACCTGGATAGAATACTATCCTTGGTCATATATCCTTAGCCGACACAATAACTCATTGGAAGAGTTATTATACACCTGAACTTGTATAGGTAAAGACAAAGCACATGAAGGATTCTTCTGCTACCATGTCATTGTATATGAAAAGGAGATACATGGATGCCTTAGCGAGGAGGTGTGAGAGGTTGACTATGGTGGGTATGGGATGAGGTAGAGATAGACCGAAGAAATATTGGGGAGAGGTGAATAGAGAATACATGGCACTTCTTGAATTTATCGAAGACATGACCGATTAGTAGGCAATCAAGCTTTGTCTAGCTTCCTTACTACTATTTATTATTACTACATCCATCCCATTTTATGTGGCACCATTTTCTTTTTGTTCAGTCCCAAAATGAATGTCATATTTTCTTATATGGCAAGTATTTAAAGGTACAATTCCTTTTTTACCCTTGTTGGTCCCACTTAATTTTAAAGATAGTATTCTAATACATTTATGAGGAGAGAGAAAAATGAGTTCACTTTTTTGAAGGGCGATTTGGTAAACATTTCAAAGTCTTAATTAATTCTTAAACTCCATGCCCGATCAGATATTGCTACATAAAATGGGATGGAGGGAGTACTATTTCACTATCTTATTCTTTTATTTTATCATTACGTGTTGTTTCCTCTACTTCAGTTATTATATTATTTGTTGTTGATACTATTCATGTACCATTTTTTAGGGCTCCTTCAGTACTGTATTTCTTTTCCGAACCTTCTCTGATATGCTTACTTGAGTCGAGGGTCTTTTGGAAACAACATCTTAACTTTCTAAGTTAGGGGTAAGGTTTGCATAAACACTGCTCTCCCCGGACCTCACATCTGGAGTTGTGGTTGTGATGATTACACTAGGTTTGTTGTTATTGTTGTTTTTGTGGTAGTTCTTTTCTTTTAGGACTTCCACTTGGCTGGTTTATGATTTATCTCTCATAACAAAGATATAAACCTGTGCTGATCTGTATATTCTTTTCAGGTGACAAGAAAGTCCTCTTTGCAGACAAAGTTTTGAAGTTCACAAGTACAGGAAAGATGAAGAGGCGCATTTTTCTTGTAACTGACTTTGCCGTTTACATTGTGGATCCAAACATTGATGCACTTAAAAGGCGGATTTCCCTGGCAGCTGTTGAAAAGCTCTGTTTGAGTGAACTAAGTGATAATTTCTTAGCAATTATTATACCAACTGAATATGATCTACTGATAGCCAGTACTCGGAAGACGGAAATTGTATCTGTCTTAGTAGATGCTACCAGGAGTCAATCCGACTACGAACTTGAGGTGCTACTCTCTAATAGGCAAGTGCAGTGCAATTTTCTTATTGACTTTGAACTCTCAATTGTTCTTTCATCTGGCTTATCAGTATTTTAAAAAGTTTTCAGCTGAAAATGGATGCATCTGCAGATATTTTTGAAGTAGCTTAGTGTGTATTATTGAAGAACGGTGTATGAGAGAATGATCAAGGGCCAAGACAGAAAGTTTTTGGCTTGATTTCAGGCCAGCATATACACTAGTGAATACTATGTCTTGCTTTCATACTAAGGATTCAATTATTGTTGTAGAGAAAACATTGATTTGTTCCTTTATGTCAGTTGTGTTACAATGAAGCAAATTAATCTCTATGCCTAGCTAGAATAATGAGTTCTCGATGAACAGCTCTATGCAAGCTGTGGATGACCAGAAAATCTTAATCTTGGGACATGTATGTAGATGATAAGATGGATCGGAAACAGAAAAAGAGAGAGGGTGTTTGGAGCATCTGAGTAGATGTTTGCTCTTTTGTTTTTTTTTTAATTCCTATGATACAACTATCTGCTTGTTTTTCTCCCCCCTATACCTCTCTAAGTTTGCCTGTTTTCATCTCCCTAGAAGTTTTATCTTGGGAAATATGTCTTGTGTCATTGTTCATACATTTATACTCTCATCGTGCAGATTTGAGTACAATGCAACTTCCGAACTAGTAAAAGAAATTGACTTTGAGGAAACTGAAGGTCAGTGTTAGTTTATGCTTTACGACATTCTCTCTGTGTTCTTCCTGTACCCTTACTTTTACTAAAATCAGTTCTAGGTTTTGTTTGTATCATTATTTCTTATGCCTTCAGCTAAGTATTTTTTCATGATTCTAAAGTTGGGAGATATCTTTTAATCCCAGAGGGTGCGAGAACAAGAATTGTGCGGAAGGGAGTTGCACCTTTAGTGTAGCAGTGCGACAACATGAACTGCTAGCATACCGCCTTGACATTCCAAGGAGGAATCACTCGGTATATAATTCATGTATAAAGGTGATTATCTTTCTATTGAGAATTGAACCGATTAAATTGATTTTTTCATCACGTTCAACTGGTTATGTTTTCTCTTGTTATGCGGGCCTATTCATTTGCATGGCTCGTTGCCATCATGTAAATTTCCAAGCTCTTCTTTTATTCCTTTGTGTGTAACTGCAATTTAACTTGTACAAAATATTAATATATAGTCTATTGAATGTTTGAGCCCCATCGTCACATGACTTCAGATAATAGGTTCCTTTCATTTCGTCTGTTTATTGTGTCCTCCATTCTTTCATTATGTCTTTCACATATTACAATGTCATGGAAATGGACACTTGATTCTTTCTCAATTATGCAAGACAACATTTTTTCTTCTTCTGATGGGAAGGGTACTGGCAGATAACTTTGTCGATAGAGCAGAGAAATTTAAGTTGCCAAGAATGGCGGAGGCAAAGATGATGCAGAGGGGAAGCAATAACAAGTATTCAGGTAACTTTTTAAAACACGTTTCCTAAGTTATTTTACTACAAACTGGGATATCAGAACATGGTCTCTACTTGTATAAGTTTGAATATAGCAAAATCAAAACAATTATAAACACATTTACAATAGCACTATTGATGTGGCTTATAATAGCACCACAACAAGATGGATTGTTTAGCAAGTGTTGGATTGCCTTGTTTCTGTCGTTGTCATTCATTAGCAACGCATCTGCAGAACTATTTGATGAGAATCCCATTTCTTTCAAGTAAGTATAACCGTCAGCAAATTCCGTCACCTGAAAAAAGTTAGTGAACCATCTTCCCTCAATCTAAAATTTGCAATAGTGTTTGGAACAATTAGTGGTATTGTTTAGTTTCTTACCCTCTCTTTCCGTCCCAAATAAATTACATGATATACTTTTTGAGTATCATAGACACATATCTATTACCCATAGCTTCATTAAAATAAAATTCTAGATTTTCAGGCTACAAGAATCATGTAAGATGACAAAGAATACCTTGTTTGGATTGTCTCCATAATTAGCTACTGCAAGAGGCACGATCTCTCTGTTGAGACCGAATGCAATGTATTTGTTCATAACAGGATCTCCAGAGGATGCCTACATTCAATTAAAGAAAACACTAACAAATCAGCTTTTCTGTACAGGTAACAAAGAACATTAGTTTCTTTATGGCATAACACACTGTAATCCGAATACCTAGAGAGGATGTATCAGCAAAAGCAGTTTCAGAAAAAGCACATAAGTGCCTCAACAGGATATCGGTTAGAGAATCTCCCAAATAAGAGTTATTATTGTACTTTTACATACAATCGAGATATAATTGTATTTTTACATATTATAAAAGCTTTCCATATATTGCATCTTTTATTGTTGCTTTATCTTTGAGTATCTTGAGTTGAGTTTGAGTGGAGTATCTTGCATTTGAGTTGGATATCTTGAGTTTGAGTTGAGTATCTTGAGTTTGAGTTGATTATATTGGGTTTGAGATGAGTATATTGAGTTTGATTAAGTACCCATGAGTTGAGTTGCGTATTCTTGAGTCATATATAGTCGAGACGAGGTGAGCATGTCTTCCTTATTATTAGTATCAGTGTACTTTTAATATTAATATTATTTAATCAAGAAAAAGGTCTTTAAACTATTTCAACTTCGGCCGAAATTGTTGTTACGATATCAAACTTTATGGAGGATCTTTTACCCCCTACATGATTTAGTAGTGTATTTTAAAGGTATATATGTGTCCACACAAAACTATTTATGGTTAGAGTTGTAAATATAGCTAGCTCACCCTATCCCAGTTAATCCATACAAGTTTTGACATTTTACGGGTCAGACAGGGCTAACCCATTTTCGGTGTGGGTTAGAAAATGGTCGGCCCAACCCATAAGTATGTGGGCTGCAGGCTTGAAGGGCCAACCCATTTTTTAAAAAATTATATGTTTTTTATAATTAATAAATTAAATTATAGATTATAATTTTAAAATATTAGCATATATATTGATAAAACAATATTATATGATGTTAATGTCATTACTTGTTAATCAAATTCACAAGTAAAATTATCTTTATAATATTTATTAAGTTTTTTTTCAAGTAAAAGTATAAATGTCTAAAATATAAATATTAACCTAATTGTTTTGAGTTTGGACACTCTTTAATTTTAAATTTTAATATTATATTATATTTTTAGTTAATTTTTATTGGTCCAGGACCGGTCCTATCTATATTTCTCAAGCCCCACAAGTCAATAGACTTATCCAGGCCGATCTAAAAAGCACTTTTCTTAAATGTGCTTCAAAAAAAATCTTAGTCCAACCCTATTAAATCTCGAGTTAGATCAGGCCAGCCCAACGGGCCTAGCCCATATTGACAGCTCTATTTATGATGTTGCAATAGCACAAGGGGTAAAGTCATTTCCAAAGTTTGATATTGCTACAACAATTTCGAATATATTCCAGTCTGTTAGTAAAACAATTTAAATACATATCATTAAAAAATTGTATTAAATGAAAATTTACATATTTAAATTTCTGATCAATATTATTCCTTTTTTGGGAGGGATGAAATCTTTACATGTTGTATTTTTTTAGTGTTGCTAAAATGTAGTAGTTATCTTCTTTTTTTTTTCTAATTCTGTAAAATAATATACAACATAATAATATTAGACATAAAATAAAAATTTATTATATAAAAATAACAATAAAATTCATAAATAAAATAAAACCAAACTTATGGAATATCCTAAATTAATAAAAGATATATTGATAAATTGTATATATGGAAGAAATATTTGCTTTGAAAAATATGATTTTCGATTTCTGCTTCTCCTTTTTTAAAGAACTAATTTTTTTTAGCTTCATCCCAATATTAGAAAAACTGCTTGTGCTTCCATTTAAAACAATTTTACTTATTTATCAAACGATCATTTTTCAAAAAAGAAAATTCTCATAAATATTTGTATGATTATAAATTATCTTAATATGAGTATAAAATAGACATTTTGAACTTATATTATTATTATTATTATTGTTATTATTATTATTATTACATTAATTTTTTATATCTTTTTTTTCTAATTTTGTAAATAATATATAAGATAATAATGTAAAGAGAAATAAAATAAAAATCTATTATAGAAAAATAAAATAAAATTCATAAATAAAACTTAACCAAACTTATGAGATGTGCTAATTAATTAATAAAGGATATATTGATAGTATGTATATGTGGAAGAAATATATTAGTCTTGAAAAATATGATTTCTGATATTCGCTTCTCCTTTTTTGAAGAAACAAAATTTTTTAGCTTCTTTTCAGCAAAAGAAAATTTGTTTGTACTTCCATTTAAAAACAATTTTACTGACTTTTCAAATGCTTAATTTTTTTAAAAAAAAATTCTCATAAATATTTGTGTATAAAATAGACATTCTAAACTTATATTATTATTATTATATTAAATTGTTATTATATTTTTTTCTAATTCTAAATAATAATATAAAGACATAAAATAAAATAAAAATCTATTATATAAAAATAAAATAAAATTCATAAATGAAAATTACCCAAACTTATGAGATATGATAATTAATTGGTAAAGGGTATATTGATAATATGTATATATGGAAGAAATATTTTAGTCTTGAAAAATATGATTTTTACGATTTCTGCTTCTCCCTTTTTAAGAAACATATTTTTTTAGCATTTTTTTAACCAATTATGTTGATTTATTAAATCTAAAAAACAAATAAAATCACATAAAAAATAGTTTTTTCGATTTTGGCTTTAGCCGATTCTTTTGAATTTTTTTTATTGTTAAATTTTTTCGTTTTTTTACAACTATGTGGTACTTGAAGAAGTGATTACATATACTTTCACTTACCTGTGTGATAAGCTAAACTTAAAAAAATGTTAAATGAATAGAAATTTTTGAAAAGGTGGTAAATTTTCTCATAAGTACAAAATGTTTTTTTTTGAAATATCAACGTTAACTTTGAATTTGGAAAAACTATAACAATATAATTGTAAATTTGGAACTTAATGTAAAATAAAATATTTACAAATTTTACAAGCCCAAATTTAAAGCAACAAAATCAAATCACAAATAGTTTTTTTTCGATTCTATTTGGCTAGTCGGTACGTTTTGACTTTACGATTTGACATGTACACCCTTATTCCCAACAATAGAAGAATGCTTGTGCTTTCGTTTAAAAACAATTTTACTGATTTATCAAACACTTAATTGTTCAAATTTTTTTTTTCATAAATATTTGTGTGATTGTAAATTATCTTAATATAAGTATAACATTAACATTTTAGACTTATATTATTATTATTATTATATAAAATTGTTGTTATCTTTTTTTCTAGTTAGGTAAAATAATAATATATATTAACACGTAAAATAAAGTAACAATCTATTATATAAAAAAATTTCATAAATGAAACTTAACCAAACTTATGAGATATGATAATTAATTAATTAATAAAAGATATATTGATGATTACAAATTATCTTAATATGAGTGTAAAATAACTTATATTATTATTATTATTATTATGGAAAATGCATAAGTAACTCCCTAGACTATGACCAAAATCTCAGAGACACGTCTAAACTAAACTAAGGAACTTTTACTCCTTTGAACTTATTTTTTTTGTAATTTTGTGCACTTTTTGGACTTAAATAACATCTAAATATCTCTCACGCGCCTCAATTGCATGGAGTCACGGAATGTGTCATATAAGACAAAAGGTACATAAAATTACAAAAAAAAAGGTTAGGGGTAATATAACCTTAGTTTAGATAATGTATATCTCTGAAATGAGTTGTGTATTTTCCGTTATTATTATTATTATTATATTAATTAAATTAAATATAGAAATATATTGTTTTTTTTTCTCATATAAATAGGAACAAGTGACTACAAATGTGTGATTTTGTCTGTGCTCAGCAAAACCCAATTTACTAAAGCTCGCTCACTACCTACCAGAAAACCCTACTCACTCTTCAAGAGAATCTGCTGCCAAATGCCTTCTTTTGCCGCTTGAAGCTCCTTCTGGAAAATTCAGGCAAGTAGATCTGAGACTGATTTACGATTATTTGCCTCTCTGCTTGTTTTGTGTTGTTTAACAGAGTTCTAATTTGTAATTTTTGACTCTGCTTTGTCTGCCTTGGATGCATGTCTCTGTATACATTTGATTGCTGTTTGTGTCTGTTTTTTTGGTTGATTAGTAGTTTGGCTGCTCAAGAATATGAAGAAAGCCAAGGAAATGAACAATTCAAGTAGCTCTGTATTTTATTTTAGTAAAATGTAGCTTCCATATGGCTTAGGTTATTATCAAAATGTCTTCATTTATGAATTTGAAGCTATAATTGGACATGTATGGGAGCTATTTCTGGATAATCACTTATCTTTTGAGTCCGTTTAGGGTGTAATTATTGCGATTGACCTCCATGCATTATCATCCTGATTATTCTCCTTCAACTTGCAATTTTTTGTTCGTGACCAAAGAATGTTGGGGTGAAAAAGGAAAAATAGGAAGCACAAAATACCCTATTTTAATAATATTTGTAATTCTGTTGTCTAGAAAACTGTGAATTTTACTGTGGAGAACCGTCAAAGTAAACCTGCTTCTTTTTATTGTGAATGTATAATATATGTAATATCTTTTCAAAATATTGCAATGCTGTGGCCTGTCAAAAAGTCCCTATGCTAGTGTTGATTTCTAGGTCTTTGTATGGGTAGCTATTGGGGAGAACTTCAAAGTAATATTAGTTCTTTTTATTGTGCAAGTGGTTTGTATTTGTAAGGTAGAATGTCTGTGTATCTTACTTCTATTTAGCACATAATTATGTTTCTGACAAGAGGGCAGGGCATGAACTTTATCATGAAAGGTAAATTATTGGGATGAGTTTTACATTTTCTTCTTCTTCCAAGCAATTGGTGCTTATTGACTGTCATGAGTTCTTGTTATAGTCTTTTGATTGGTTCATTTTTCCATGAATTGTTGTGAATGAAATTAAGTGTATCAAAATTTAATAAACATTTCTTTAATGGGAATATCAAAACCTTTGATAACAAACACTTCATGTGAGAAATTTCCATATAACATTTTGCTTCTACATGCTTGATTTGATAACTACTATTCATGCCTTTAGCCTCTCTGTATCTCCTTTGACAGGGGCTGGGTTTGAAGGGTAAAGTAAGCTGAACTAATGTGGTTAAAATACCCCTGAGCTAGTATAATTTAGGATGCTCACTTCCACCTACAACTGATGAGGTTATTCGTTTTTTTATTTTCCAGGTGTCATTCTTGAACACTTAAATCTTGCAAGAAGGGGGAGTTCTATGGATTATAGCTCCGGGGAAGACACTGATATAAGTGAATCAGAGATTGAAGAATATGGAGAAAAATCTTACGAAGATTTGAAGAGCGGAAGCCGTTCTCTTAAGATATCAGATGTGGCATATACTTGCCCATATTGTCCAAAGAAAAGAAAGCGTGACTTTTTGTACAAGGAACTCGTACAGCATGCAAGTGGGGTGGGAAGCTGTAGCTCCAATAAAAGAACTGCAAGAGAAAAGGCGAATCATCTTGGGTTGGCAAAGTACTTGGAAACTGATGCTGCAGTTGCTGCTGATTCATCTAAACCTGATGCCGAGCCAGATACTCAAACTGACCCTCTTGCGGATCATGACCGTGATGAGATGTTTGTCTGGCCTTGGATCGGGGTTGTTGTGAACATTCCTACTGAATACAAGGATGGACGCAATGTGGGAGAAAGTGGTTCTAAGCTGAGGGATCAGTTGACAAGGAGAGGTTTCAACCCTACAAGGGTACGTCCTCTGTGGAATTACCAAGGCCATTCTGGTACAGCTCTTGTTGAATTCAACAAAGACTGGTCAGGATTTGGTAATGCAATGGCGTATGAGAAGGCTTATGAGGCTGACCATCATGGCAAGAAGGACTGGAAAGTCAACCATAGTAAAAACTCTGATCTGTATGCTTGGATTGCTCGTGCCGATGACTATAAAGCTATTAATATCATCGGTGAAAATCTCCGCAAGGTTGGAGACCTTAGAACCATTTCCGATATCATGGAAGAAGAAGCTCGGAAGACGAACAAGCTCGTTTCTAATTTGACAAATGTTATTGAAGTCAAGAAGTTACACCTAAAGGAGATGGCAGACAAATTTAAGGAGACTTCACAGTCTTTGAAACAATTGGTTGAAGAGAAAGATAAACTGCATCAAGCGTACAATGAAGGTTAGGAGTCTGTATATGCTGTTACAAACTCTTGTTATCTATAATGCTTCATGTCCTTGCATTTGTTTTATGAGCAGAGATAAGAAAAATCCAGTCAAGTGCACGTGATCATTTCCAGAAGATATTTAATGATCATGAAAAGTTGAAATTGCAATTGGAATCGCAAAAGAAAGAGCTTGAGCTACGAGGTAGAGAACTGGAGAAACGCGAGGCGAAAAATGAAAGTGATAGGAAGAAACTGTCTGAGGATCTTGAACAGGTATAACTTTTCGTCCTTGGCTGTTACATGTCTGAATCTGAAATTGTACCATCCTTTTTATTTATTCATCCGAAATTGAGGGTCTACTAGCTGCAGGATGCTTCTCCTTCCGTAAGGGTTAAATTTTGTGTAGTGGCTCACAACATTTGCTGATGTTATGATGACCTAGTCTAGTCTATGATCAAAGCATGATATGAGAACTACTGCATGTAGTTATGACAGTGGTTTGGACATTCCAGTTTTCTGTATCCAGACTCTTCTTTGCCAGTGTTTCTATGATGGAGCCTCTGTGTTTAGTCAGATTCTAACTTAATCAGTTTATTTCCTCTCTTTTCTTCTTTATCTTCCTCTTCACCTTGTTCTTTACAGTTTCTAATGCTCTGAAACACTAGGTGGGCAGTGTTGCTCCAAAATGCTAAAGCATGTATATGTGGTCGCTCAAGTAATGAAGTGTGAGTAGAGTATGCACACACAAGTATACATAGTTATGCTCAATTAATGAAATGTGATTAGAGTATCGTTCCGCTGAGGACTTGATATTAACTAATTAAACTATAGACACACAAGATTTTCTAGTTAGTACGGGAAAATTAAAACTCAATATAATTTTAGGTGATTTAAATAATTAAATCTAACTTATAACTAAAATCAAGAAATAAATTGACAAATAGCAAGAAAAACAAACTTGCTAACTTTTAAGAAATTCACAAAATAAAAATCCTAGGGTATATTACTTTTTTGATAACCGTGGTGTCCATGTTAGCTTGTGCGCGACTAAATTGTACGGGGTACCTACTACCTCTCACTAGCATGGGTACCGGGTAACTTTGTCGACTAAAGCTTAGTTAGGTGCGAAGAAATCATCTAGTATTTTTGCATCCATTGGGATTTGAACGTGCGATCTCATGATTCTCAACTCACTTCATTGAACACTAGGCACACACTTGGGTGCTGAAGAAGCCTAAGGTTATTCCCTTGACAATCTTGTTAGGACCAAATGTTTATTCTAATAAATTAATCTGCAAGAGTTGCTAACCTAGTGTTTGCTCATTAAACACTAGGCACACACTTGGGTGCTGAAGAAGCCTAAGGTTATTCCCTTGACAATCTTGTTAGGACCAAATGTTTATTCTAATAAATTAATCTGCAAGAGTTTCAATTCCTACTCGCTCATTCAAATTAACCTTCACGACATGTGTATGAGAATAGAATTTATAAGAATCTGTCTATGTAAGATGATCAGGTATATGCCTATTCACCCACGCAGCAATTCCCTAATGCTCATGAACATATGCTAGCCTTTCAAAAACAAGATGAATCAAATAACTAGGCAAAACAAGAAAATTAAGAAAGCAAGAAATTTTTTGAAAAAAACACAACTCAGTAGCAATAACTAGAACGGGTAATTATGAACTTGAATTATGCAAAAGTAAGTATTTATTCAATAGGAAATCCACAAGTTGGATGATTCAACTTGAAAACCCCCTTTACAAGTTTCAAAGCAACCATGAATACCATCCATCCCAGTGTTTCAGAAGATGCTTGCCTCACGCTTTAGGCGAATCAGAGATCTTGTGCCCTTTTGCTGAGGTGAGGGCATTTTCTTAAGTTAGACCGCTCGCAGCTTCTTCTTCTTTTTGGGTTCTTTCAATGATTTTCAGTCCAAAACTAGGGTCTTGAGGTGCCTTGCTTCTCCTTTCTTCTTCGTCTTCTTTCCTTTCTCTCTTTTTCTGGTAGCAACTCTTTTTTCCAGCTGTTTCTGGTGTCACTTCAAGAAGGCAAACACTTCGCGTCGCCTCAGTTAAGCAGCCCCTCATTGGTTTATGTCTCCTCTTGCTCTCCAATACATTGATCCATCCACAGAAAATACCATTCAAATTCAAAATAAGCTAACCCTGCCATTCTTTGAAAGTCACTCTTTACTAGGTCTAATTAATACATATAAAAAAACATAACAACCCCTAATTAGTCCATTAAACGAATTGAGCTGAATGTATGATTGTCTTAGGTAATTTGTCATAGCCACATTTACTTCTCTTCAGGGTTGACTCCTAGTAAACCATCTCCGCAATTGCGTCCCTTGATTCCACTTTTGTGTAGTGTTCTTATCAACAGAAAAAAGCTCAAACAAGTTATAAGGTATGTTGGGGCTTAAGCACAAAGCATAAATAAAGAGTGTGCTTTAATGAAGAAAGGCACAAATGGAGAAAAAAATACAAATATATATGTTGGAGTCCAAGAGTAATAATTATAAGCACAAATAACAAATATATGGAGAACGAATTTGATTTTTTAAATTTATGATAAAGTAGTATATCAATTGTTTAGTGTAAGCCTCATCAGAAACACTCATGAGAGCCTTGATGACTACACTTAAGCACACATTAAGCGAGGCGAAGCGCTCGACATACTCTGAGCCTCACTTCAGGGCTTAAGCGTGCCTTTGACAACACTCCTATTGTGGAAGTTGCTGGCTCCTTCGCGATCCCGATCGATATTGCTGACAACTGTATTCTGCACAGTTGCTGCAGCCTGTAAACTCAGGTTTGGTCCTTTTTGGAGGTTCCATCCCTGGGTACTTAAGCTCCCCCATCTTCTATAAAATTGCAAGACGTGCATCGTCATAGGATTCTACCAAGGATCCTCCAAGGGTTCCACCAAGGCTCTTCTGGGCGTCTATCTTCATTGCATAAGCTTGTAAGTGTATTAACTCCTTATCATGTGATCTTGTGAAGGGTCTTCAGACTTGTGTACTAGGGTTGCCATCAAACCTAGGGTTCACAGCTAGTATCTGAGAGTTGATTAGGCTATGAATGATTAAGCTCATAATCTTGAATATATTATTCAAGAATGTAAATTAATTCAAAGAATAAGTTTAATCCATAACAATCATGAGACAGTGGTTGATCTATTATATACCATTTTATGACCGCACTTTCAGGTTTACTTTCGTTTACTACTTATCATTATGTGCATCAAAGAAGTTTTCTAAAAGTCGTTTTTTTTTTTGAAACTGGTAACATTGTACTCCTCAGCATTACGAGCTATGCTGGCCACCTCCAAAAGTGTTAGTTGCATAGAAAAACCAACAAAAAACAGGACTACTTACAAAGCTCCTATGAAATCCTTTCATGAAATAAGGAATCTCATCTGCTAGTTTTATCCATTTCGAAGATCATTAGCCTGGATACCTTACTCCTCTCGTTCCTAATAGAAATTGTTGTTCCATTCTATAATCACCATCATCTTCATTATATATATCGCCTTTTAACTTCAAAATCTCACCTTTAATTATCAAACTCTCTTCTTTCATATCTATATTTTTGGGCTTTTTTCATAATTTTCTTCTAATGTTAGCTCACAACTTTGCAATGCACATTATAAAACACAAGAGTAGTTTTCTAATAATAATAATAATAATAATAATAATAATAATAACAACAACAATAGACTTACTCATATATGTTTTAATGTTATATAAATAGCCGAATGGTTTGGGCTTGGGACTTTCATGTTGGAGGGTTCAAGTTCAAAACCCCTTGTCAGTGAAAGCAAGGGGTTTGCCTTCTGCATCGAGCTCGTCGCAATGGGCTTGTCTAGTGCGGGTTACCTCTCCTATGTGGTTTGTGAGCTATTGCATAGGAGTGGAGTTTTTACTTTGTGCGCACCCAAAAGGTAGCGGCTGTTGGTTTGCCTTGTCATAATTCTTTTTTTTTTTAGATATAACCGAATTAAACCCCCTTGATAACTTGATGTGCACTCATTAGACAGTGGTCGATCCATTATGTACCATTTGCGACTCCACTTTCAGGCTTACTTTCATTTTATACTTGTATCGGGTGCATCAAAGTAGTTTTCTGAAAGTAGTTTCTTTGGGTGGATGTTGGAATCCTTTCAACAAATAAGGAATAGCATCTGCTTCAATTATCAATTTAGAAGATTGTTAACATGAACACATTACTCTGTTGAAGTTGAGTCATGTGTATCTTGATTGAAATTGTTGCTCCAATCTCTAAATGCCATCATTTCTTCCTTGACTATTCATTATGTATCACTGAATTCAAAAACATTATCTTCAATAGTCAAAAACTCTCTTTTAATATCTTCTGTATATTTTGGGGCTTTTCATTATTTTCTTGTAATGAAAGCTCACAACTTCCAATGCACTCCATAAAACAGAAGAATGAGTTCTTATTAATAATAACAACACTAAACTTACTCATAAATATTTTAGTAATTATACAAATATATCCGAATGAAACCCTTAGATCACTTAATGTGCATTCATAGACAGTGGTTGATCCATTATATACGATTTGATGACTCCACTTTCAGGTTTACTTCCATTTTATACTTTAGTTATGTGCATCAATTCTTTTTCTTTCTAAAAGTTGTTGGGTGGATGTTGGAATCCTTTCATGAAACTAGGAAGAACATTTGCTGCTTTTGTCCATTTTGAAGATGGTTAACTTGAACACCTGTCATTGTTATTCCAGAATGCTACTCTAAATACCTCACTTAGTGCCGCAGCTGAAGAGCAAAGAAAGGTTGACGAGAAAGTACTGAAATTGGCTGAAGAGCAGAAGGTGCGTGTATTTCTGGTTTTGCTCTTAGTATTGTAACTCTCTTCGTCTCTTATGTCTAGTTCATATAACAAATAACTAATCACTTAGATGTCATCTTGCTGATTGCAGAGGCAAAAGGAAGATCTCCATAAGAGAATAATTCAGCTGGAAAAACAACTTGATGCGAAACAAGCGGTAGAGCTTGAAATTGAGCAGTTGAGAGGGTCATTGAACGTGATGAAACATATTGAAGATGAAGGTGATCAAGAAGTTTTGAAAAAGGTGGACACACTCCTTAAAAGTTTAAGAGAGAAGGAAGAGGAATATGATGGTTTGGAAGCATTAAATCAAACTCTGATAGTGAAGGAAAGAAACAGTAATGATGAGCTGCAAGACGCTCGCAAAGAATTGGTTAATGTAAGTGAAGTAAATTAATTCTATACTAGTCATAGCCTATTTATAATTATTGTACAATAAATTCCTGCTTGAGATGGCGCTATTTAACATATTGTTTTTAGAATTTAGTTTCTACTGAACATTTGGTTTTATACTATCTCTTGATGGTTGGTTACATTTACTTATTTACATTCATGTATTTCTGATTGACCATGGTTTCCCAATCGTTTTTAGCTTTGAAATGTTTATCTAGGATGCCATTATTTAGGTTTCTACGAGGGGATAATACTACTTTGTTATCTTTCTTGCTTTCCATTATTTTTATGTCCTCCTCGCTTTTGTGGCGGTGTTGTGTAGCTCTGGGTAATCTAGTAACTGAATTGCTCTTATAGGGTTTGAAGGAACTACCGAGAGTTGGTCCAATTGGTGTTAAGAGGATGGGGGAGCTTGACAACAGACCATTCCATGAAGCAATGAAGAGGAACTATAATGAGTCAGAAGCAGATGAAAGAGCTACAGAGTTATGCTCATTGTGGGAGGAATACCTTAGAGACCCTGGATGGCATCCCATTAAAGTCGTTATGATTAACGGGAAACCTGAGGTATGCTTTTCATTCACAGTGGAATCTCTAGTTCTTTTCTGTCCTTTTTATTAGGACAATGGATTCTATATTTTTCAACTCCGAAATAAAAACAGGAGGGAATCAACAGTACTTTGACTTCCATTTTTTTTAATTTCTAGTTTTCTACTACAAAGATGTCATGTAGGTTGATAGGGTGTTTATCAAGTTTTTATTAGTTGGATTCACTGTTGTCGTGGGATATATTTTCAGTATGTTTACATGTTTAGGAATTTTTACTGGCAGGTATAGCTTATTTAATATTATACCATCTCATTGCTCATGCAATGAGAATTTGCAAGTCTCTTTTTCGTACAACACATGAATTTCAATCATTTTTGTTATTCCATAATACATCCTATTTTCGGACTAGAAAAATGGAACAAGTCCTAGTATATCACGTGCTCCTAAATACATTTATTTCTTGGTCTAAAAACTATCGAAGGTCCTGGCGAATCAATGACATTTTGTTGAAAATATGTCTCAGGAATTTGCAGAAATAAAACAGCTGGCTACATTTTCAATAAAGATTTCTTTTGCAGAAATTTAGTTTATGAGTAGCTAACTTTTAGGAATTTTGATATACATATATTATTAGAGTCCTGTGTGGCTTGAATTTAGGAGTTAGGTTCCTTTTGTTTGTTATTTGAACTTGCAGATAAGTTTAGTAGCATATTTTCTATTTTCTGGTTAGAAATTATAGCTACAAATGTATGTCTCTGGGTTATTAATAAAATAATTTCCTTGGCAACTCTGCAGTACTTTTTTTCTCTAAGCCTTTCTCTGTTACTTCCCTAATGTCTTTGCTAAAAACCAACAAATTTTATAGCAAGTTGACAATTGTTTACAGGAAAATAATGCTAAAAAATGTCAAGAAGTTCACTTTTAAGTACAACTGCTGAAAGCCTTCAAGTATGCTATTCTGAGGACTAATTGATAACAATTGTTTTTCAGAATAAAAAAAAGAAATTAGAGTTGTTTTTAGGAAAAGGTTATGAGAAAAAATAAAAATGGAAGAGGGGGTTATGTTTCCTATGCAGCTACTAGTTTGATGTAGTAGTAGTTTAATCGTTGATTATGTTTTTACGGAGACAGAAAAATACAACTAGAGACAAGGTTCTTTAGGAAATAGTACTACTATCTACCACAAAATCCCAATGAAACAAGTGAGGGCAAAGTTGGTAGGATACGAACAACATAGCAAAAATCACGGCTTTAAGTATGCATTTTATCTGTCACTGAGTGCATTTTTGGGATAGCTGGATTTGCCTATGTTGGTACTTGGTAGATATTATAATGCTGGAGCTTACTGCTTCTACTTGATATAATTGACACACCCATGGATGTATTTCTATGTTCTATGTGATTGGCGTAACAGTAAATCTCAAAACATTTCCATAAGTTGCAGTGCGAAAAATAATAATTTAGAAGGTTCTGATGGTGATATGAGGCCAATTTGAAGGTGTCAAGTAGGAAAGTGAACCACATAATTTACTAATTTAAAACAAAGGGATCTGTTTTATGAACATTTGAATTTGTAAAAACCAACTGCAGGAAATTTCCGACTTATATGTAGACAATTTTAAACATTAAAGCATTCTTAAACAGTATCAAGTAGTTGTGTAATTGAAATTTAAATTCTTAACAAAGATATATTTTACAAAAATAAAAAGATTGAAACAAACTGAAATATCAACTTCACCTTAGTTACATACATTTGAGAACCTTCCTGTAAATGCAATTAACAATTATCTTTGATGTGTGTGTTTTTAGTCCCTTTTTGTTTTGTTTTTCCTGTGTGAAATGATGGTAGGAAATAGTAGATTCATTTTATTGTGAGTTCTGGGATCTGTTGGTTTGGTCTTAGTGTTGGATATGTTGAAAAAACTGGTTATGTATGTAGGTTCTTTTTCTTTGGTTACTTGTATTTGCATAGAGGTAACATCAATTATGTAAAATGCTGGTGTTACTCCTTTTCAGAATGTTATAGACGAAGAAGATGAAAAGCTGAAAGACTTGAAAAGAAATTATGGTGAAGAAGTTTGCAAAGCTGTGACAGCAGCTTTGATGGAGGTAAACGATTACAACCCGAGTGGAAGATACATCATCTCAGAGCTGTGGAATTATGCGGTGAATAAGAAAGCTACTTTGGAGGAGGGAGTTACTGTGTTACTAAACATGTGGAAAAAGAAGAGAGGATCTGATTGAGGCTTCTATGTGCTTTCCTTAGCCGTTTAGGCAGCCCCAAGAATGGGGTGGGTGTGATAACATGTGACAACAACTTCAAACTCGTAATAACTATTAGAACCATGAATTCTTGTGTGAATAAGATGCACTCTGTGTTCCGATTACCCTGTCGTTTATTTTATTTGGGGGGTTGAGCTTCCTCCTCCTGTGACTTAATCATAAGGATAAGGTTTTCAATGCCATTTAGTTGGTGAGATATGTAGTGTGAGATGCAGGTATGTCAATTCTTGCAAGAGCACTGTCATCTTCCAAGTCAGGTAATGGAGTCTAATAAAGTAAACTATAACAACTCAGTGAAATCCCTACAACTATGTATGTAGATGCACTGAATAACTCTAATCTAATGTTCATGTCTCTCCGAGTATTGTATATTGCTGCCAATATCTTCTTCTTGTTGCGTCTCTTCCTTTAATACTCGTCTCATCTTCCCTGCAATCAGTGTAAACACAACCATCTCTGTTCTCCTATTAACTTCATATAGCTTTGTGTGATGGTGAGATGTACCTACCATTCAGTTTTCAAGGAATATATTTTCATCCACTTTGTGTACAAGTATCTTCATATAATAATTCATGGATCCATCTTTTTCACGAGTCCGGAGCCTAAAGAGTATAAAATATTATCAAAATTTTCAAAATGGTATATATAATTTTATATTAATCAAAACGGCAAAACTGCTGGAACAACAGCGATTTCTTGCGTCGAAAAAAGTAAAATAACAGTGATTTTATAAAATGTGATTTTTTTTTAAAAAATTAAAATTGCATTGTGATTTTCGTTTTCTTTTAAAAATATTTATCTTTTTAATTTTTTTTTGAAAACTCACAAAAATCGCTCCCATAGGAGTGTTTCATTTTTTTTCATTAAAATCGCTGCCAGTGATTTTCTTTTAAAAAAAGTTCAAAGAAAATCGCTGCTTACGCAGCGATTTTATTTTAACAAAATCTTTTTTTTTCAAGAAAATTGCTGCAAAAGGCAGTGATTTAAATTTTTTTTCAAGAAAATTGCTCCATAGGCAGCGATTTTAATTTTTAAATTTTTTGAAAAAATCACATTTTGCAAAATCGCTGCAGTAACAGCGATTTTGTTTTTCCCGGCGGAGAAAATCGCTGTTGTTCCAGCGATTCTGCCGTTTTAGTTAATATAAAATTTTATATACCGTTTTAAAATTTTTGTTAATATTTTATACGCTTTAGACTCCGGACTCCCTTTTTCACGATCACTTGCCATAATAGCTACCCAACTGAAGATATGTTTCAGATTCTTGAATGTTTAACATTCAAGCCCCCTACTTCTTTTGGATGCTCATGCTCTTCTGTTGATGTATTCTCTACACTTTCTGTCAACCTCTTTTAAGGAGGCAATATGATAACACAACCCCACAAATTGTTTCAGCTTTAGTCATTCAACTTCATTTTTTTTAAGTACTATTAAATACCATTGTTTTGTTCAGTACAAGTGTTCAGGCCGTGTTACACAAACATTAAAAAGGGCAAAAAAAAAACCATTCATTGTTCAACTAAGGTCTCCAGAAATTGATAAACTTCCACCTCCAACTCCCAAACTCGTCAGAATCATATATTCTCTTCACCACATAGTTGTTATATTTTTTTTAAAAAAATACAAATTATATGAACTTTTACTGATATTTAATATGTATGTTTTCATCACATCATATATGAGAAAAATTATAACTTGTAATATATTTTGTATTTATCTTTTGAATATGTAAAGTTTTGTTTAAAAATCTAATTCGGTACTTCACAATCTTTTTCCGGAAAGAAATCCCCACAATAAAGAAAAAAACATTTACAAATATGGACCCTTCATAAATTTTTAACCTAAGTTTCTTCCACATAGTTGTAAATATTTTTTTTTAAAATTTAACCTTTTAGTCCGTTATAATTTTTATATATATTTTTTAGTCACTCTTGCTCTTCTTTAATATCAGTTTCTTAATTACGTATTTAAGAAAACAAATTAAAAATATTTTAATACATTCTATATATTCTTAATTTAAAATTACAAAATTAAATTTTATTTTTCTTAAATTTCATATTTGAGATGTAATTTGTAAATAAATTGTGAATGAAAAAGGAAATACAGGATCAAAGTTGATAGGGTAGGAAGTCCTTTAGACTAATTTTTGAGAATTTTAAGAAATCTGATAATGTTAGAGTTAATTACATTTTATCCATACTTCTTTTCAAATTATAAAATTCACTTAAATTTGGTGGAAGCCGGATACACACCAAAATGTTTCGATACATCGCATTCTGGTATCGGATGCATTGCTTAGTTATTCGATATATGACATCTCAATTTCGGATAAATCACTCAATGTTCAATACATCAATCAACGTCCTGATACATTACGTACGTCCTTATGTATGGCATAAAATGATATATTCGATCGATACATCACGTAAAGTGATGTATCCAAAAATATAAGAGAGTAGAAAATTATATTTTTCAAAACAAAATATCATTTTCCTATATACATATTTATCAATATATCTCTTATTAATTAATTAGTGTATTTCATAAGTTCGGTTAAATTTGATTTACCAATTTATATTTTATTTTTATATAACAAATTTATTTTACATTTATATGTTATTATTTTTACATTTTGTATTTTATTTGACGTATTATTTTGCAAGATCTAGAACAAGAAAAGCTAATACTGATCGAAAAATTGAATATGTACATTTTAGTTTAATTAAAATTTTATTATAAATATTTAAAATAATTTATCTGTATAAAATAATTCTGATATTAAAAGTCCACTGATGACTCACAAAAGTTCTTTTTGAAAAAGATTAGTTAAACCTTATAAAAAATACTTGTCAAATAAATTAGCCAGCATACAAATCATAATATATATATATATATATATATATATATATATTTTTTTTTTTTTTTAAAAAAACGTTTTTCTAAAATAATATTTTTGAAAACTACTTGTAAATAAATATAAACAATGTAAAAGGGGGCCACATCCATGATTTGTGAGACATTCAACTGCACTGATGCTTCAATTTAAAGAAAATAAAGAAAAAAGGGAGTTTGACCAAAGTGAGATATGTAGGGCGTAATATATGGGCCGATGATTGCGGTGGATAGTTTACCTCAAATTTGGCCACTTTCCATATTGTCAAACACACTATATTATTAATTTATTTTTCAAAACTTCACAATTCCAGCAGCTAAGTTGGCAAAAAGTGAAACCACTAATCAACTAATAGACAAAAATAAAATAAAATAAAAACTAGTACTATTATTATGCTCAAAGTTTTGGGCAAAAACATGATATGCTTTAAGACAAAGAGAATTTTGTAGCATAATGAGATGAGACTGTTATTATTATTTTCGTACCTACTTTCAATTAATTATGCAACGTAACAACAATTTTCAAACACAAGCAACTTAGGTAAATATGGTTCATTTTAGGCTCATAATATGATCTCTCTGTACCACCTAATTGTAATAATTTTACAGTCTTAATATTTATATTATATATTTTTTTTCACATGAGTATTTTAGATAACTTTCAAATGAATTTTTTTTTTCTCTTCTGCATTCAAATACATATTACTGAAATTTTAGCTAATTTTAACACGTATTCAATTTTGTATGATTGAATGTAGACATAATGGAAAAATTGAAAGGGTGTTAAATAAGTTTATTAATTATAAAACATTTGTATTTCAAATTTAGTTAAATAGTGGGAGCGGAAAATTCGGGAGTAATTAATGAAAATGTGTTAAAAAGTGTCAGTAGATTGACGGAATTAAAGATAAAAAGCGGCTGCAAGTGTTCCATGGGAAACCTTTAATGTGATTTGGAACTTTTTTTTTTCTTTCTTTTTTTAATCCCATTCCATTCCAATCAAATCAAATTAAAACAAAACCAAAAGATTCAGTATTATGATTGCTTCATTCATAATCAGAGATTTTATATTTGAGTTTTGAATTTTGTTTTTGAAAGTTCTACTTTCGAATGAGCATTGCAGTATGCGATTCATATTTAGTTGAACCTCAAATGCGAGTGAAATTTGAAAATACAAACACAACGCATCTAAACACACATTTAAGACATCTAAAATCAATAGACTGTACCAACCTATTATGTCAATAGTGTTCAAAATATGTTATTTAATCACTTTGTATATTCAATATTTTTTTCCGACGATTGGACACCTAAAAATAAGACAAAACAAAAAACAAAATAAATATTATTTCTTTTTATGTTTTTGTTCCCGCCAATATGTCCTTTGATTAAGGAGGACCAAACTTAGGTATACACACATAATTTCTCTGTTATAAGTAGTGCTTCTCGTTGCATCATTTTCTTCAACAACCTCAACTCCATTAAATCTTAAGAATGGGTATCATAATTTTCATCCTTGTTCTTCTTTTTGTAGACTCATGTTTCAACATTGTTGAAGGAAGAATCCCTGGTGTTTACTCTGGTGGTTCATGGGAAACTGCACATGCTACATTTTACGGCGGAAGTGATGCTTCTGGAACAATGGGCGGTGCGTGTGGTTATGGAAATTTATACAGCCAAGGATACGGAGTTAACACAGCAGCACTGAGTACTGCTTTGTTTAACAATGGATTAAGTTGTGGAGCCTGTTTTGAACTTAAATGTACAAATACTCCTAATTGGAAATGGTGTCTTCCTGGAAACCCTTCCATTTTAATCACAGCTACCAATTTCTGCCCACCAAATTACGCGTTGCCAAATGACAATGGTGGCTGGTGTAACCCTCCTCGCCCTCACTTTGACCTCGCTATGCCTATGTTTCTCAAACTTGCTCAGTACCGCGCTGGCATTGTTCCTGTAACTTATCGCAGGTAATAAATCAATTAATTAAATATTGTTAAAAAATGACAAAAATTCTTATAATAGTTGGACAATCCTTCTCTCTTTGAGCTAGCTTTTAGGGTGTGAATTAGGTCTAAGATCTAATTTCACGTGGTATCGTCTCACCCGATGCTGACGTTCCCAAAATTAAAATTGCCCACGCACCAGATGCTAACCACTGGTCGTGAGGTAGGGTATTAAAAAATGACAAAAGTTCACATCGATGATTAATGAGATGGGTAGACTTCTTACAAGGCTTGGGCAATCTTCCTCCGTTTGAGCTAACTTTTGGAAATAATTTCAATAGTAA